CTAAGAGAAATGAAAATGAAATGGTTTTGAGCCCAACCTTGGCCTTGCTCGGTTTTATGAAGTCTAATTATAAATTTTCGGCCCATTGGGCCCTTGGAAGTACTTACGGCCCAACATAAGATAAAGGGATGGGTTTTAGGTCCATTAGGGTTAATTGGAGTTGCTTTGGTCCAATAAGGCCCATTATAAATAAGATGGATCATTCTAGGCCCATTAAAGCCCAAAATACTATATCTTAATGAATGTGAGTTCAAATAGGGCCCAACTTAAGACTCTTAGCTTAAAGAATTAAGTTAAGGGTTTATTGGCCCATTAGGTCCAATAAAGAACTCATAGTCCATAACAAACTTGAATCGGGATTTTTAGAGTTTCAAACTCTTTGTTGAACATGAGAGATGTATTTGAATGAGTATAAAGTATGATATTTACTTAGAGTACCAATCATTATACTGGTTGAATGATTGCATGAGAGTAGAATTTCCTAGCAAAAATACTAGTTGTGACACTATGTGATTCATATGTGAATCACATGTGATTTATATGTGAATCACATGTGATTCATATGTAAATTACGTGTGAATCACATATGAATTTATTTTTGATTTACATGTGAATTAGATGTGAATCACATGTAATTCATATGTGAATCAAGTGTGATCTACTTGTCAATTAAATGTGATTCATATGTAAATTACATGTGATTTACATATGAATCACATGTAATTCATATGTGATTTACATGTGATTCATATGTAAATTACATGTGAATCACATGTAATTCATATGTGATTTACATATGAATTACATGTAATTCATATGTGATTCACTTATAGTTGACATGTGAATTACGTATGATTCATATGTGTTTCGCTTGCGATTTACATGTTAATCACATGTTATTCATATGTGAATTACATATGATTAATATGTGAATTCAATTCATTGCCCATACATACCCTTTCTATAAGCCATTGGCCTAAATCAAACATCAATTGAGCTCTTTTCCTCGACTCTACTTGTTCTTTAGCAACCTATCAAGATAACAAGAAATTATGTGTTATTGGAACACAATAACCAATATATTAAGACAAAAACCAACTTATTTGAAAATCATTGGAAACCATTCAACTTTCTAACTTGGCTGCTAAATTGTCAATGTTTTAGATTACAATTAAATCCAAATATAAGCAGAATGTGCAAAGATCCATTTAGACCACCAAAGTTTTTTTCTTTCATATTATTGGTGATCCTATATATAGTAAAACTGTAAAAGTAATCAATAAAGCTCTATTATTTTGTTGAAACGTTTAAGCAAGTAAAAAGAACTAGGTTTTGATTTCTAAGCATGAATAAGTTGAATTTTTGCTCAAAAGGCAATTATGAATTTGTTAGATCGTCTCTAGCACTAGTCTATACCACATAAACACTAATTTTATAACTATGAACTTAGATTTCAAGGTTTGGGATCAGAAACAGGTCAAAATTTAAACATAATGAAATTCAATTTCTCTGCTTTTGAACAAATAAAGTTAAATCTGAAACAACAAAACACAAATAATGAACACAAACAAAACAAGAACAACTATTGGATGAAATATTATGATCATAGAGTAATAGACGTATAAAAATATAAAAAATGACAAAAGTTGGCATACAACTGTACATAATATTACCTGGTTAATTCATTTGATCCTCCATACACCATGAGTACACAATAAAGTAAGGAGCTTTTCAAACTGTATAAAGAAAGAACCAATATACAACGTAAACTAATATTTCAAAATCAACTTTATTAAGAAAATACCTAACCAAACCAAAATGCCAGAATGTCCTCGAATTTACTATCAGAATTAAAAATTTCCTAAATATTTTTCTATTAGAGTAATTAGACCACGTGGTGGAAGGACTATAAAGTATAAAAGGCTTCAAGGAAAAGTTAAATAGTCTGTAATCGGATGTAATTCCATAAATATCGAAAAATGTATCAACATAATAATAACCAGTTACCATGGAGATTAGTTACATAATTAAGGAGGATAAATTGTTGTGTTTGAAGGGATTACAAAGCAAATCTGTAGCAAAATCTGATTCTGTTACCTTCAATAGGCAAAGCAATGATCAAATCCAATCAAAACTTGCATTCATTTGAAGGATCAAAAGAAATTTTGTACTATTATGTATATTTGAAGCCGAGAAGAGCTAGAGTGTTGTATTGGTGATCATTGATGGAAAGAGTAGATCGAAGCAAAAGCGATTGATTAATTCCAAATCTGGATGGAATTGTGGAAATACGAAGATAGTAAACTCAAAATCGATTGGTGATGAGTGTTTGATTAAGACGATGTCGTTGGATTTCATCAAAATTCAGCGATGAAGAAGGCGATCAATCGATGTGAAAGAAAGAGGCGCTCGAAGGCTTAGAGAGAGAAAGTCTGAATATGGGGGAAGTATCAAGTCAATGATTTTTAGGATCAATTTTTTTATACCCAAATTATCCTCATGATTATTCTTAATAAAACCTAATATGCCACTAATTTTACTAATATTCACAAAGTATACCACTGATCATGTAAGTCATCCAAATAATTGATAAAACGTTCCACTTTTAGTTCTTAGGTTCTCTGGAATATATAAGTTCTCAAATGATCATTTATCTCTCTCTCTCTTTCTCTCTCTCTCTCTCTCTCTCTCTCTCTATATATATATATATATATATATATATATATATATATATATATGGTAATAAAACTAAATTCAACTGTAAATGTTTTGAATACCTGATGATTCCAACTTCAGCATGGCAATTGGCATTATGATATTATTTATTTATTTATTTTAAATAAGCATGTTTGGAATTTTATGGATATCATTGATTCATCATGAATTTATATTTGCAAAAACTATTGTTATAAAAATAAACACTTTAAGTTAACGTTTCTCATTGTGAAAATTATTTACACAAAAGGATAGATTAAATAAATTTATTAAATGCTACGGATGGTTATGGATGTTTTGCTCCACATATGTAAGCGTGTCGGGGTCTCCGCTAAGAAAGAGACTCATGTGAATTTCCTGACTGATCCGGTAGAAGGAAGGTCAGCCCTTAAACTGGTTGACATTTTTATTTTTGGATGAGTTGGAGGGAAAAACACATGTATGGACTTTATAGGGGTATTCCATCTCGTAAGCTTGAAGGTCGGGGGTTTCACGACGGGACAGACTGTATTAAAAGCTGATACATGCAAGGTTATCAAACATGAGAAACTATGCATGGAAAATCAACACACATTCATACCATTTGCATTTGATATGTTTTGTTTCTTTGCGTCGGATGCGGTGAAGCTTCTTAGTACAATACAACGGATCATGCATAAATATGTTATATCCTCTCGATCTACGGATGTAGTTTCAAAAGAATTGATTTTACCATACAAAATGGCTTAACGGTGCAATTTGTTGCCCGGTTGTCTTCTCATTGGTTGTACGATGATAACTAAAATATTTAGTTTTTATTAAATATACAAGCATTGAATAAATTTTAAAATAATTTAATGTAAAAACATTCATTTCATGACAAATATTACAATTAGGCTTACTTTTGTAAAACAAGTTTTAAGAAACATAAACGAGTTTATCGAAGATGATAATTCTTAAATATGTGAGTGAAGTTAAAATGTAGTTTCTTTCTTAAAACTTATTGTTAAAGGTAATCATATAAATATTCTATCAACAAACATAAAGATAAGCGAATCGAAAATGGTTAATAGTTTATCTTGAATAGTAAATGTAAAATACTCGTTTCAACGTTAATAAATTAAATGCAATATGTTTTTCTACTAAGAACGAAAATTTGATATTTACCTCTCTAAACTTCAATGATGAAAATAGAGACGACGAAAGTAGGAAGATGTTTTAATAAAAAAAAATAGTTATTCATTTATTTTGAATTTTAAACTTATTAAAACATGATTACAAAAATAATTTGCATAAATATTATAGTTTAAGATATAAATGGTATTTTATTATTAAATTGATAAGAAGGATATAATATTCGGATAATAAAAATAGAGATTTAAAACAATGATATAATAATTAAAAAAATTAAAAATAAAGATTTGAATAAATCAAAGATTTTGAAAGTTTACAAAAAAATAAATATAATTTTTAATAATGAAACTTAACAAGTGTTTATTGATTAAACAAACAAAAAAAAAAAAAAAAAAAAAAAAAAAAAAAAAAAAAAAAAAAAAAGAAGATATATATGTATGCCAATTTTGCAAAACGTTGATATCAATGTAAGATATATGCGGAAAGTGACACACTAAATCGTAATAATGTCGTCATTTTCTGATTTACACTGGTTCTATATATATCAACTCCTCATGTCGTACATTTCCCCATACAACCCCTAAAACCCTACATAATCCTCTCCGTCTTCCCAACGTTAACACCAAATACAGTAATAAGCAATGAATTCTATATGGTTTCTTCTTCTCCTTCTCCTCCTCCCAATCTCCATATATGCAGACTGTTCTTGCGAAGATTCAGGCAACGTAGACGACAACAACAAAATCCAATCTCTCAAATTAAAATTGGTTGCTATCGCTTCAATTCTAGTGGCCGGTGCTTTTGGCGTTTGTGTCCCTTTGTTAGGCAAGAAGTTTGACTCATTACGACCGGAAAGCACGGTGTTCTTGGGTGTCAAATTCTTCGCCTCCGGTGTCATTTTAGCCACCGGTTTTGTTCATGTGTTAGCTGATGCTAATGAGAGTTTGGAAAACCCTTGTTTGGGCGACAAGGCTTGGGGAGATTTTCCGTTGGCTAATTTTGTGGCGATGGTGGCGTGTGTGGTGGTTATGATGGTGGAAACTGCTGCTACCAGTTTGTTTAATAGACATTCTAGTAAGAATGGGGCGGAGGAGCATATCGGAGATGAAGAGAAGCAGAGGGGTCACGTGCATGGCCATACTGGTCATACACATACATCCGATGGCCATGCACATGCCCATATTAAAGATTCTAATTCGTCGGAAGGTTTGCTCCGCCACCGGATTATTTCACAGGTACCACACTAATGCAATCTTTTTCTTTCCTTGGATTTGTCATGTTTTCGTGATATATAATATTTTACTAGTTTTGTAAATGGTTAACTAAAAACTAGTTTTTTTTTTTTTTTAGATTATATTTTTCCTAGCAGATTTTAAGAAACTCAAAAATTTGACTTAAAATTAAACATTGTTGCACGCAGGTGTTGGAAATGGGTATTCTGATACATTCAGTAATAATTGGAATATCATTAGGTGTTTCAGTGAGTCCCAAAACGATAAAACCACTTATTGTTGCCATAAGTTTTCATCAAATGTTCGAAGGCATGGGCCTTGGAAGTTGCATCACTGAGGTAACTGTGATTTTTATATATACACCATTAATTAATTACTCAAGCTCCATGACAAGATTTATTTATAAACTAAGTTCTATATATTTTTGCAGGCAAAGTTCAAGATTCGAACCATAGCAACAATGTCCATATTTTTTTCTGTCACAACTCCAATTGGGATTGCTCTCGGGTTCGGAATCTCTAACACTTATGACGAGAATAGCCACACAGCTCTCATTGTACAAGGTGTTCTCAATGCGGCTTCTGCTGGCATACTAATCTATATGGCACTTGTTGACCTTCTTGCTATGGATTTTCTGAAATTAAAAGTGCAAACAAGTCCAAAGCTGCAAATCTTAGCATTCATGTCTCTTCTATTTGGCTTAGGTTGCATGTCTCTTTTGGCTATTTGGGCATGACTTTCATCTTGAAGATTTTAGTATTAGGTTAGGTAGATTAGATTTTACATAAAGAGGACCTACAAACTACAAAGCATGATTGATATGAAAAAGAAGATACATTCGTACACAATAATTTTTTTTGTTCTACGTAGCAATGACATGTTTTATCTATTTATTTATTTATTTTTGTATATTGTACAACCATTTTGAAACATAAGTTATTATGTATGATGAGAAAGTGTTGTGTATGAATCATCTTAGCATTATTGATGATGATGAGTTTGTGTTTTTTCATTTATGTTGGTGCAAAATCATTAGATTGTGAAGAAAAACAATGTTTTTTGTAAGACAACACAAAGCCCCATATTGATGTTAACGACATCGAATTTCTTGAAGCGGCATCTCGAGATGGATTTGATATCCGTCTAAGTTTTCAACCCCCTAATAGTCCGGATTTGAATGTGTTAGACCTTGGATTCTTTCGAGCAATCCAATCACTTCAAGAGCAAAAGGTTTTGGGTACAATTGATGAGTTGGTTCATGCGGTTGAAACATCTTTTGAAAAAATGGAATCTCAACAACTTAACAATATATTTTTAACTCTACAAACATGTATGCAGGAAATCATAAATGTTCAAGGTGGCAACAATTACCAAATACCGCATATTGGTAAGAATAGGTTGGAACGAGAAGGCAACCTACCACTCCAAATTGAATTTGGCTGCGTAGTTAAAATTTTGATAGACGTTGGTCTTTTGTATTTTGTGTGTTTGTAAGAGTATTGTATTTTGTGATTTGGAAAGTTAAAAAAAAAAATCACAGCAGCCTTAGTCAAGTATCACAACAATTTAAAAAATTGTTTTGGTTTTCTAAAGGAGATACATAGATAATTTTATTGTTTAAAAGTAACTGAGAATTTGATTTTGATAAAAAAAAATTCTAACAAATGTTGCAATAAATTGAAAACGGCAAAAACCAATAACTTGAAAAAGATAATGAAAAGTTAAAAAAATAAATATATAAATAAATAAAAATAACTATTCAGATTGTTTGGAGAAAAACCAACGAATGACAAAAAAAATGTAAAAAGTAAAGAGATTATTTTTTATGCATTTAATATCATTAATAAATGTACTTTTATTAGAAGAGTATTTTGGTAAAGATATTATTTATTTATGGAAATGAACTATCATTTTGGGACATAATAAAAAGGAAAGATGGACTATGAATTTGGAACGAAGGGAGTAAGTAATCTGAAAATATCATTAATAAATGTACTTTTATTAAAAGATGGACTATCGTTTTTGGTCTCTGTCTGATGAACTCGACAAGTTCTAAGATGAACTCGACGATTTGGACCAACTCGACGCGTCCATTCCCTGACTCGACGAGTTCGTTTGTCTGTTGGCAGATTTTTCGGATTTCAACCCTAAATTAGATAAGGATCATTACCTTAAATTGTTCTACTTGTTTAAATTCAAATTTTCTGATGTGGTAATGAATATCCTCATCTAATTGAAAGATAATGGTCAAATTTTAAGATAATGTTCAAAATTATGTTATTAGTTTAATCATTTAAAATTTTATCAAGAAGTTGTGAAAAGTTTCAAATTTTGCCCTCAAGTTTTTGAATTTAAAATTTGATTAAAAGTTTTAATTTTGAAATATTAAATTCTAAAAACCTAGTGTTTTAAAAGTTTAAAATACAACCCTTATACTATTATAATATTAAAAGATTAATATATGTGTGTGTGTGTGTGTATATATATATATATATATATATATATATATATGTATGTATGTATAAGATAAATCAGTCTTACCGTTAGTAGGCCTCATTCATGAAGCCGATCAATAAGGGGGTATAAGGAAACTGCCTATAAAATGGCGGTTGAATGGGTGTCCACTCTCACCTACCACTTACTTGATTGGTGGAGGCTCGTTAGCCGAACGGGTAGGATAGAACATTAATTCCTTATTAATAAGTATAACGAATATGATAAAGTAATTAAATATTTTTATAAATTCCCAATCTTAGTTACTTTAGGAAAATGTGAAAATGATGCTAATCCATGAAATTGCACTATGCATAGTGTCAAGTTGTTAGTGGAGCATGTGTGGTTAACCGACACACTAACTTGGACTAACAAGGGTGGCAAAGGGTATCTCGAGAATTACCATAGATCAATGGAGCGTGTGTGGTTATCTGGCACATTGATTAGGTGGTAAACGACATCGAGAGTGCCAAGCTAATTTGAATGGTTATTCACACCGTGTTTGTGATCCTTGGCATCCCAGTCACATACTTGAAGGGCGTAATTGAGATTAAACATGTCATTGAAAAGTTCAATGAATCTCAAAAGAATCTAGGAATTTCATTTCATTTAAAACCTAATTCTTCATTTCTTTTTTCGCGGTGGAATTGGTAAATCATCATTTGCTTACCTTCAAATAATTTGCAATTGGATTACGGCATCCCTCTTCCAAATTGTAAATTATTGTGTTGGGTCCTAGCCTTAATATTTCATTTGGGTGTTATATTAAGGATTCTTTATCTAATCAAAACTTTTGTTCCTTTTTTTTTCAAATGTCTGGCTCCAACAGGGCTTCTAGCCCAAACTCCAACTCCTCAATCTCCTTTTCTCTTTTGAACATTTGTGGGAGGGTCACCTTCGACGGATCCAATTTCAATGATTGGATTCTCAACATTCGAATGGCCCTGCGATACGAGGAGAAATAATACGTCCTCGACAAAGAAATCAAAGAGATAGATGTAACCAAAGCTACTCGTGAACAAATAGCTGAGTATAGGGCTCATGAAAAACACGCGATAAAGGTGTCGTGTAATATGGTAGACACTATCACTCCTGAGTTGCAGTGGTTTTACGAAGACTATTAGCCTTACGACATGTGTCAAGATTTAATGGAAAAGTACCATCAAAGCATGCATCAAGAAAGGTACGAGATTGTCGCCTCACTAATAACAACCAAGATGAAATATGGAGAGTCCATCACAAGCTACTTGCAAAGGATGCAAAGGTATGTGGATCGATTGCTCAAGTTGAATGTCAAATTTGACGAAGAGTTGGTGATTGATATAACCCTACACTATTTACCTCCTTGTTATGATCAGTTCAAGATGACTTATCATATGAACAAGGAGGAAGTCACCTTGAGCAAGATTCAAGGTTCATTGAGAACTATTGAAATTGGACTTAAAGGCAAAGTTGTCGAGTCCACCCATATTGTTGCTGCCCCAGTCCTCACTATAGGACATGGTAAAGGGAAAAAGAGGAAATCTCCCTCTAAGAGTCACAAGGGAGAGTCCCATGATGGATCATATTCAAATGGATCTAAAGCCAAAGTCGGTTCTGCTACTCCCTCATCCGTTCCTAAAGAAGCAACGTGCTTCTAAAGTCACGAGAAGGGGCATTGGAAACGAAGCTACCCGGAATACTTGCAGGACATCAAGGATGGGAAGATAAAGCCCTCCTTCACAGGTATTTATAATATTCAATCTAATAACTCATCACATGCTAGTTCTTGGGTCCTTGATACAGTATGTGGTTTTCACATTTGCTCTGATTTGCAGGGGCTAAGAAGTAGGAATATGGAGCATGGAAGATGAACCTGATAATGGGGAATAGGAAATCGTTGCCTGTCACCAAGATCGAGATTTACTCTTTAGTGCTTAGTAATTGGTTAGGATTAGAGTTTAATGATTGTTGCTACTCGTCAGAAATGATGAGGAATATTATTTCTTCTTATGGTTTGTACAGACAAGGTTTTAGATTTTCATTTAACAATAAAGTTGGTTCTATTAATGATTTTTATAATGGTACTTTATATTTTGAAGCATTTCCTTGTAATGGTGTATATGAAACTGTGATAGTTGTAGATAACTTAGGAAATAATGTGTTGCATATCGATTCGTCTAATCGTTAGACAAGTCATGCTTATGGCATTGTCGTCTTAGACATATTAATAAGAAGCGCATAGCCCAACTCCAAAAGGATGAAGTCTTGGAGTTATTTGACCTAAAGTAAGATGTCACGTGCAAATCTTGTTTACTTAGAAAGATGACTAAATCACCTTTCACTAGTACTTGTGAAAGAGGTGAAGGATTGTTGGATCTCATAAACACAGATGTATATGGGCCCTTCAGATCCACCACAAGGGATGCTAAACGTTTCTATGTAAATTTTACCGACGATTATAGCAGATATAGGTATATCTATTTATCAAGCACAAGTCGGAGACCTTTGAAAAGTTTAAAGAGTTTAAGAAAGAAATGGAGAATCAATTGGGTAGGAAGATAAAGATGTTCAGATATGATAGGGGTGGTGAGTATCTTAGCATCGAGTTTCACGACTATTTTAAGGAATGTGGAATTGTTTCACAACTGATGCCACCTAGAACACCACAGTTCAATGGTGTAACTGAGAGGCGCAATCGAACCTTGTTAGACATGGTTTGTTCCATGATGAGTCCCAACTAAGAAGGTTTCCAAAAACACCTCACGAGATGTGAATATGGAAGGTTCCCTCGTTGGCACATATCAAGGTTTGGGGTTGAGAGGCTTTTGTAAGACGAGAGGCTCACGACAAGCTTGAACCTCGCAGTGAGCTATGTATTTTCATCAGCTACCGACATAAATCTTTTGGATGTCTTTTCTACAAACCTAGTGACAACGTGGTCTTCGTAGCAAGGAGAGGGGTTTTCCGCGAGAGAGAACTCATATGCCAACAAGATAGTGGGAGGCAAATTGATCTTGAAGAGCTTTAAGAGTCAAACGGTGAAGGAACCTCTAACACTAGCACTCAACCTAACGAAGAGATTTATGTTGAACTAGTTGACGATTCCTTACCTATGAGACGTTCTGGTAGAGTTAGTGTTCCACCTGTGTTGTATGGTTTCCATATAACTGCTGAAGGTGATACGTTTATCATTGATAATACATTGATAAATTTGGTTGAACCTAATAACTACAAGGAAGCCATGGCAGGCCCAGAGTCTGC